TGAATTTTGCTGATTTCTGGTTAGCAGATCAATTAAATAGTATGGCCACAGCACTGTTAGACTTCCACTTTTTAACGTGTTTTTATATTACCAATGGAAATTGGCTAGAAGCAGGAGATACTACGCAATGTATGTCTGGATCCTTAATTGTTAGACCTATCGTTAATTGTCTACCCGCATGGTTTCGTTTTGCACAATGTATACGACGATATCGTGATTCTAAAGAGGCATTTCCACATTTGGCTAATGCTGGAAAATATTCAACTACATTCCTTGTTGTCATATCTAATACGCTGTGTGCGTACAATGCTGGTAAGTTACAAACAATTTTCTAATGTGATTGATATTATTTTCAATCAAGGATATAAATAATATTAATTTCAGCGGAATATTCAAATCGTTGGGAAAATCCATGGTTGTGGCTTTGGATCTTTAGTTGTATTGTCAATTCTATTTATTCACTAACGTGGGATTTAAAAATGGATTGGGGTCTTTTAGATAGCAATGCTGGTGAAAATAAATTCTTACGCGAAGAAGTAGTATATTCAGCAGCGGTATGTAAATAAAAGTATGTTCTAATCTTTCTTTTTCAGTCAATTATTTATTGCACTTGATACTTCTTTAGGGATTCTATTATTTTGCTATAATCGAGGATTTTATTCTGAGGTTTGCATGGATCGCGAGTTTCGTTCTTATTGAGTGTGGATATGTATCTAGTGATTTAATGACATCGATAGTAGCACCTCTTGAAGTCTTTAGGTACGTCTTTAGTTATTTTATTATTTATATGTACCTCAATGAATATTTAAATTAGAGTAATTAGTATATAAAAATATATTCATTTTAAGGCGATTCGTTTGGAATTTCTTCCGATTAGAAAATGAACATTTAAACAATTGTGGTAAATTTCGTGCAGTTCGTGATATTTCGATCGCACCGATAGAAAGTTCTGATCAAACGCAAATTTTGCGTATGATGGATGAAGAAAATGGTGTACTCAATAGAGGTAAACGCAAAGTTGGTGGTAAACGACAAGCTACTAGTAAAGAAGATAAACGGGCATTGCTCAAAGAAGAAACAGTTGATATAGATATATCAAATACTAGTTGAAACTAGTTCAATTGTTTTATTATCAGAACCTATGCGAAGCAATATTATTCCAAATTTGATGTAATTTTTATAGGACAGTAGTTTGCTAGAAAGAGTGCAGGTCATACTTTATGAACAATTAACATTTCCTTTGTGTATCAAAATTGAAGATTGTGAGGCTGAACTGAACAAGTGCCTTGTATATATCCTGTTTATTGAACTATGAATTTAATAACTTAGTTCTATGATATTTATACTACAGTGTCTTCCATAAAACTGTTTCGACACTTAACACATGATTTATCGCTAATAAACTGATTTGAATGACTTAAATGCTTTTAATTATTTTAACAATGTATGAAAATCATTTTTGTTTAAACAAGTCTTGAATTAACTGTATACTACTAATTAGTATTCAATTGGTAAATACAAAGAAAGATAGATTACTTCATTAGTGATATATCTGTTAATATATATTTATTAGGTACTATAGTCTTCAATTTTGATTAATAAATGCACAGATTCATACTTGAGAAATGTATAAAGTGTATCATAATAGTTGTACATAGATATTTGTGAGTTGTATGTAGAAACAGGGTTGATATTTTAATATGTGCATTTGTTCACTTTGGCGCAACGAGCAATAGCACAGTCTACCTGTTATTATAGTATTATAATTCTAATTAAAGGAAAAGCGCTCATTACATTATAATGTTCATAATTTTTGCTGACAAATATAAATTCTAGATTAATTGTCAGTGGGAAGTGGTATTTTTAACTTATCTCATCAAACAATTGTATTTATTTGAACTAATTATATATAAAATTTACTAGACTACAGCGTCTCTTACATTATTTAAATAATACATTTAATAACTATTTGTCTTTTTTTGTGGTAAGGTACCCATGTACCTTTATATTCTATGCGATACAATACATTTCTAAAGGATAATTATAAAATATGCATTAAGAAACACAAGAGCTTATATGTAGTGACTGCAGAAGGAGATTAGATTTTATACAGGTAGATGTTTCAACAAAATATATGAAGATAATAAGTAAGCCCCCAATGTTGAATTAGGTACTTAAGTACTTAAAATTGCAATAGCATTTTTATAGAAGTATTTTTACATTTATATTTTGAAATGTTCAAGGTATTTCAACATGTTAAAAACTATTTTCATTTTTCGAATACCAACAACAGTAATAATAATAGTAACATTGACAAAAGTTACTATTATTCATAGTAATACTGCATAAAAATCTATGCCTTATACTTCTCGTTGAAAATATAACTGAATACACAAACTGTAATCTATCGTTCTTTTCTATATATATTTTACATAAAACGAAGATTACTTGAACAAATTTTTTATCTCTTATAGAAGAAATAAAATAAGGAATGCCGACAATATAATTTCATTCGCTTAATAGCGAATCTAAAAGAATTGTTACATTATGTTATGTATTACTCACGATAAGGTATTGTTCTTAATGGTATTGTGTATGATGTATTCCTATGTATTTATGAATTAAGTATTCCAATAATTGTGATGGTTTTACACATGTATTTTTATATATTTTGTTATAGAAATAATAGTGATAACAATAAGTAGTAATATAACGTCTCCGGACCAACAGGATAAAAAAGAATGCCCCGAGAATATTCTGAACAGTTGATCAAGGGAAAATACATTATAGTTATTTGAAAGGTATATATGCATATTTGTACCCAGCAAGGTGGGAGAATTTGTTGAGACTGTGCTGAAAATTACGGTATATTACCAGACACCACTTTATAGGAGAAAGTGTCTCCGTCCAGATCAGGTACCTCAAATGCCACAGAAGAATAGTGGTGGCAGGGTCGTTATCTTTGTGCTTCAGATGCAGAAAAAGAATAAGCTGGACGAGGAGGAATTATATGCGTAAGATGAAGGAATTTTGTTACCGACAACGGAACTGGAAGTCTACGAGATAATTAAAAACAAATAAAAATAATAACAATAATCTTAGAAAAATCTTTTTTCATCCTGGTAGTTGGTAGTCCGGAGATGTTACAACGGTAATAACAGTGAACAGTGAAATTTATTCCTATTAAAAGAATGTGAGATATTTTTATATTTCGTGTACAACATATTTTCGCGTATATGTTAGTTATATATGCACATCTTTTTTAAAAGATATACGCCATATGTGATTACGTATAATTGTAAGCAGTTTGTAGCGAATTAAATATGTAAATAATACTTGCATATAGGCTATTTATAAATCATTAATAAAATGTTCAGTATTTAAAGACGAGTGCGCTGTATTTCGTGTCCTCTATTTGTTGATAATAATTACGTTCGACAAGTTTTATTTTTTAAATTTATTTATTCATGACATGTTACACGTTATATATATACACGATGGATTTTGCGTCGAATTAATTTCGAGCAGTGACGTTACGACTATACAATAGCATGGCGATATTAAATCGGCATCACGTGTAACTTTTTACAGGCTAAATTATAGAAAGCAATAATTACAAATGACTCGAATAATTTTATGCAAATAAAAATAGTAAGGTTTTGTGTTACGTTCTTTATATGTAATTAATAATATATCTATGTATATTTCTTAAAAATCATTTTAAAATCAGATATCTTAGGGGTTTAGTTTACTATATGCAATCGCACATTCCAAGGATTGTGTTAAACATTTTAATGTATTTCATTTTAGCTCTTTGCAATTCTATATTGAAATTGATTTCATATATTATTGTATAATCATTATTTTAAATTAAACATGATAAAACATGTTTTAAAAGGTAAATGTAATATCTGTACAGCTTGTTTCAGTTTTATATTTTTCTTAAGTTAAGTTATTTTGTTTATTAGATTGCAAAGAAATAGATCATGATATATTCACTAATTAAACAAAGAAATGTTATTACTTGTAAGAATCTCTAGTGACTCGCGAGAAAGATAAAAAGTCAAGTGAAATATGATTGTCATTTTTCCGCAGGATGTGTTCCAAACCTAGCACAAGTATAAAAATTGTAAAAATATTCTTACAAATTTATAAAGTAAAAGAATTAAGTATGTATATATGTATATATGTATACAATATATATAATATTTTAATATATACTAAAAAATTATGTAGACAACTTTGGCAGTATAAAACTTTAGTTTTTAAGTACAGATAATTTTCAACCATTAAAAAGAGATAAAACATTTTAACTTTTCTTATTCATTTTCCAATGTAACGTTTTAATAGTCTTGTGCATCTAAAATGAATTTATACTTTTATCTTACATTATATAAAGTGAAATATTATAATTATAGTTTACCTTTGGAATTATTTTATAACAAATACACAAAGTTATATGTTATTCCTTTAAAGCCTAAGTTATTTCTCCAAGTACATATTGCTGCATTTTGCAATGAATAATGTACATATAATAAACAACAGCTGGTATAAAATACCATAAAAAATAAATAAATTTACTAATTTTTTAAATCTTACTTATTAAATATAATCATTTTTATACAATTAGAAACACAACAATATGTATCTATTCTCTGTTCTAAACAGATATCATTAAAATAGTTTAGGCTACCAAAGGTCAATAGTTAATATCTACAACAACAATTAATTAAAATTTCAACGCGTACCTGTATATACTTGTAACAATGTACGCTCATATAACAAAAAAAAAAAAAAAAAGAAAAAAATAGAGCCTCGAGAGAAGTCTTCAAATGGCTTCTTTAATACAATTACAATCATACAATGAATTTTGCGTCTAACAAATTTTCAAAGCGTTGATAATTGAAATGATAAAAAACTTTCTTCTTTTAATACTAAATTATGCACATTTACATGCGTAAATGTAGAAGAATTTTGTACATTAATTACGAAAGTAACACGATACAACTTGAAAATGTGGATATCATGTTTTCAAGAGGTTTTCGCGGTTCCGATTTCACTACCGTGACTACTGGAAGCTTTCGACTTTCTTTCTGGATCCATAGCGATTGAAATGAATTCTTCTGAAATTTTTTTGTCCAATCCTGTGTATGTTTGAGCTAGATCTACTTGGTCTTCTCCTATAGAAGACATCCTTTTTGGGGACTCCGTTTTTCTTTCAGTCTGTTTCTTCCTTTCCATGGTGTCTTCGTGTTCCACAGTTATGTGACGTTTCTGCTTTGGTCGAATCTAAAATTAAATATCATTATTCATTACTCCTTCGACTATCGTTAAAGAATATAAGCGATAGTATACTAAATTATATTGTATCTAAATCAATTTTATATTAAAGAAATTTCTTCCTTAGATATATGTGTTTAATAAATATATTTCTTAAACTTGTATACATTTCACATATATTTTTATTTTTATGTTTGATTATTTAAAACACTCAAAAATAGTAAATAGTTAATTTATTAATTTAATTGATTTGTAAATTACTATTCTATGTACTTATTCTTATTCCTTACAATAATGAAAATACAGTAGTTATGAATTTTACTTTCATTAGTCTGCCTTAAAGAAATAATAAAAATTTTGTTTTTTTAGAATAAAATATGACATAGTGCATATGAAATTACGGGAAGAGTTTATGTCATTACATTATTGGTTTTGAATTTCTTTCGAAGATATGAAGCTTTAAATTGCAAAATACTACTATTTTCGTGAAAACAGATCGTACTTATGGATTTTTGCTTTGGATATTATTTAGAGGTTCGTGTTCATTTTCTTTTATTTTAATTTAGAAATTTTGAGGTATTCTAATAACATTTTTCAAAACTGGAAAATTAATCTTGCGATGGTGGGGATTATTAACAAATCCTTGTTGCAACAAAATTATAATAGTTTGAATAGAGAAGAATGTTGCAAATAATTAAAACATCTGCAAAATTCTATAATTCTGCCATAATAAACAATAGTAAATTATACAGAATAAAATTTGATGAAAATTTGACGTATAGTTCTAGAGATTTCGCGATAGTTGGATCAGAAAGCATCGTAGTTTCGAAGAAAATACAAGAGAAATTTTAAGATGACATATCTCTTAAATGAATTTCACTTCTATTAAATCTGATGGCTTAATTATATGACATTACAGAGTTATATATAGGTATATGTGTATATTATAGTCATATTATAAATTTATCAAGGGTTTGAATTTTGATGAAATATTTTGGCACAATATTCTATATACAATCTTCTATTATCGATTATTTTCTCAATGAATTCAAATAAATACAATGATCAGGAAAAGTATTGACACATACTCTCATTTTTAAATGAAACGTTTCTTTTTATCAGCTTCTATATTTCATTTTCACAGTGTGAAATTTTTGCAGTCCTATGAAAGAACTACTAACTAAGCGATACGAAATTTAATATTCTGCAATCCAATTAATTGATATGTAAGTGCTATAAGAAATACAATGGTGTAATAATACAGTAAATAAGGGATTAACCATTTTCCATGAAATTTCAACAATCTTAAGAACACTTACGTATTATACGTAATACAAAGATATATCTAATTTCCATATCAAATCAAGTACAAAAGGAGACCTTAAGAAATAGAATTCGCTACGTTTCGCTTTCACAAATACTGAAATCTGCGAAGAAAGATTTCGAAAGAGCAATTTTCCGTGGTTACGCATATAATTATATAGGGTGGTTGGTAACTGGTGGTACAAGCGGAAAGGAGGTGATTCTACGCGAAAAAAGAAGTCGAAAATATACAATAAAAATTTTTCGTTCGAGGCTTTGTTTTCGAGAAAATCGACTTTGAATTTTCGCTCGGTACGGAAAAATTTTTATTCTATATTTTCGACTTCTTTTTTCGCCTAGAATCACCCCCTTTCCGCTTGAACCACCAGTTACCAACCACCCTATATATGCAAAGGGAAATGTCAAAGATACTGATGGCTATTTTGACACGACGATAGTTTCTATCTGGGGGAGTATTATACTGAGTCGGATACCTACGATTTGCGATGGAGGACGAGCTGCGTATGGCATGTGTGGTAGCATAGGAACGGCACCATAAGCTGGAGCAGCTATGGGCAATGGTCCAGCAGGCACGAATCCTCCAGGAAATTTTGCAGGACCGCCAGCCATTGCATAAGGCGACTGTCACAAAGTAGAATTTGTTAACTTATTATTTTGTTGTCTTTTTCTTTCTTTTTTAGTTTTAGCAAGTTTCAATCCACAAGGAACTTCTATCATTAAGATTTCTCGATAGAAGATATCTATTTTCTGCTTTCCTAGCTAATTCATTTTAATGAGTACGTTATATGTAATAACATTAAATGTAATATTTGTGTGATGAGATGTAATACTTGTAATATTCACAGATTGTCTAAATCTTGGGAGTAATACACTGTGAAGATGATGGTTGAGATGTGTATAACACGAGGGATTAGATTTCGTTATAAAACTTGTATCTTTTAAGGAAGGAAAATATTTTTAATATTTGGTTACTATAACTGGTATATACTTTGTACTTTGTATGAGTTTAAGTGGAATCACGATTCATCGAAGACCAAGATTTTCTTCTTTACCCAAAAATGTATATTAAATGTGTAGTATATCAAAGAATTATCTGTACTATTTTTTATAATTATTTATACTATATATTAATTAAAATATATTAAATATGCTATTGAAACATATGTAATGAAATATTTATGCATTACCACATATTTTTGCATATTGCGAAATCTCTAAAAATAGGTTGAAATGAATAGGGAAGAAAGGAAGAACTTTTGTTCATTTTTTTTTTATAAAAATAATTCATCTTACCTTTCAGTCATAAAATTGAATGTTTATCAATATGTTAGGAAAGTATTCACTACGTTGAAACGTACATTAGGATACATGTCATATTAATGGAAAGAGAATTGCTGTAAATTGAAAAACGTAATTATCAATTTTGCAAGTCGAGTGATTCTAGTATCACCACTCGATACACCTAAACTATAAAATCGCTTAAAAAATAACAACGTAAGCAAAGAAGCGATTCAAAGATAATTACTTAAACTGATCCATTTATATCAAACTTAATACTTTATATAACGTAACATTTAGTTTGATACAGATCACATCATATTATTCACTACATGACCTATTCCGCAAAGCACTTTCAAATTAAAAACGAACATTAATCAATGTCGCATATATATCTGCAATAAATTACCCGTCACTAACATTCCATTAAACATCAACCTCTCTCTGCCCAACCCACTTAACTGTTAGACAAAACAACACCTACATCTCATCAAATAGAATTCAACAACTAGATCACCTATAAAATAGATAAAATGAATCCACTGTATCCATTCTAAATCATCCGTCACTAATATAAAATTCCATTAGATATCAACCTCTCTCTGCCTAATCTACTTCAGTATATTAAATAGGACGATATCCGTATCTTATTAAATAAGTTCAACCATCATCAAGATAATAAAATACATTCACTGCATCCATTCTAGATCATTCACCATTAAAATCGCACGACACATCAAGCTCTCTTTGATTAACTCATTTACAATTAAAAGAAGATGGCATGTACAGAGGTTTACGAACATGAGTTTTGGATTTTATTAAATTTACTTTACGATATAGCCAACTGGCCGCACAGTATTTGGATTTAAATTTACTATTTTTTTAAACTCTTTTTAAACAGTTTCTAGGGGTTGAATTTCGAAAAACGCCCAAACACGCGTTCGTTTATTTCTAGTGGAAAGTTTGCATGCCGAATTTCACGTCTCTGACTTTAGTGGACATAGAGATACGGTTATCCTGTAAAAAAATTTGACCCATTTTCCCCCCTTTAGGATCTGTAGTTTCCATAAATCTTTCTTTATCTCATGCTTACGTCATAAAAGAAGTATACTGTGCAAATTTTACGTTTCTAGGTACACCGGTTTGGCCTGTGCGATTGACGAGTAGGTCAATCACTTCTGTATTATATAAAAAGGCATAGAATTTATTATTCTTTATTTTTACATTAAAATAGGATTATACTATTAAGCTTTATGGAATCTATATTTAAGACAGTAGATTTCCTTATTATAGCCTCACTAAATACTGTGACATTCACCACATAAGTATTAATAAATAAATACAGTAGAGTTGTCCCTCATAACGCGGCTATATTCTGCGCTATATGTATGTGTTACATGTGGATTCGCAGTACAAAACGTTAGAATTAAGTAAGTTTTTTGATGTAACAAAAGATAATATGCATTCTAGTTTTGAACAATAAAAATTTCATCATTATATAATATAATATAACATATATATATACACACATATGATACATATATAATGAAGAAATTTATACATATATATATATATATAGAAAACATATTATCGAATTGCTTAAAATTAGGTTCCACTATTATTCAGCTTCAGAACTGGGTATATTCATTATTCGCAGATATTTTCTCCCAATTACTTTCTTAAGCAACATTTTACTTTCATCGTTATTCTCCAAATCGCGTTATACGAGGGCAGTAACAATGTTTTGATCACGTTCTACGGTAGCACCGCGTTACATGGGGTTCTACTGTATGTTCCATATCGTCTACCGCTATCATTCAACCAGACATTAACTTCCTTTCCGATCTCTTATTTAATCACCAAACAAACCATCTCTTCTCAAGTCTCGGCAAACAAAAGTAAACTTCACCAACGAGAGAATAAACATAGCACGCATTCCTGGTCGAAACCAATCGCAACTATTCACCGCAAGAATCTAGCAGGCATTCAGACCGCAAACACGTATTACGCCTGGAGCATCCTCGAGAACTCAAAGGGGAATCCGAAAAGCGAGGCGAGAGAGAAGCTGACTTGCTTTATCCTGCTGACACAGAAACACCTGCACCTCGAGCTCGTGCATCTCCGAAATGTAGGCACGGAGATCGCCCGGAGCTCGGAGTTTCTCTCGACGCTTGTCGTCTGAACTTTCTAGCTCGCGTGTCACTGACCTATCCCTACCTCCAGTTCGCCGGAGGTCGAGCCGTAGTAGCCAAGTACGAAGGGTCGTGGGAGAGGATCCGGCCTCACCTGGATCATCGGATGCATCGGTAGCATCGGCTGCACCACGTAAATCGGCTGACTTTTCGGCACGTGGTTCTGAGCGGTGACCCACTGATGGACCATGTTACGGGTCTTCAGTCGACCATCGTTTGTTACTTCGTCGACGTTGCTCGCTCGAAGACATCCGCAGAGCTTCGGGGTCAAGGTCAGACAGCTGTAGCCCGAAACCAACAGTTCGGCTACGCTGGTCACTAGCAAACCGATGCTTGCCAATAGGCCGGCCCAGCTATTCTCCACATCGGCTGCTTCACTGTTTTCATCCTGTAAAAAGACGATAGTTATTTGTATTCTTTTTATCCTTTTCTTTTACTATCTTAGCTGTGCCATTCGATTCTATCGTGTTAACTCTTCCTGGTACGCTGTGGTACAATTGACGGGCTATCTGAGAAAAGTGAGCCACAGTTTCTTCTGGATATGAGTTTAAGCATTAATTTATTTCGATCAGCTGTGTTAATTATAAAAGAAAGAGGAATTAATTTTTTTTTCAAATTAAACCTAGACAACATAAGAAACTAATTAGTAACACTAGATAGTATAACAAGAAATTAGTTGTTGCATTGAATATTGTGTGCTCACATCTATTTTAAATCATACATTACTCAGTTTGTTGAATATCGAGGTTGGTTTAGTTTTGCTCGCAACGTCTCCTATATAGATATCGATTGCATTTTTTTTAGTCAAATAACTGAATTCTCGTGAAATTATTATTCGCTTTGTAAACATAAAAGAAACAAAGCGTTTTAAGATTCATTATAATTTGTTGAAAATGACAACGTGGGTTCGTGCTCGCCATCCATATGCAGATGCGTTAGTTATAAGAAATAGTAACTAGAAGATAGTCCTAGTTACAATCGATAGATTTAATCGATAGGCTTAAGATGCCTTTTTGGTTTTATCCCTAGTTCTTGTAAGCGGTTCTCACAACGGTGTGATAGATTTATCCATTCAATATAATAATAACTATTGTGATCCTACCTCTGAGTATAGAAATAACAACATAATTATTAATTCATCACTCTGTCTTATGAGTTCCTCTTCCAAGTAGATTTTTTTACTGCTTTCTTATTAAAATGTAATATTTTAGCTACAGTGTTTCTCAATGGAAAACTTGGTCACTTATTCGTTCTTTCTCTGAGCGCTTTCAACGATACATCAATTTTTATAAATAACAAAAGATGTAAATTTTGTTAGCTTTAGCCTATTACATGTAAACTGTGTAAAATTCTCAGAAGAATTAGAAAGATGATGTTAGTGTTAGAGAACAAAGATATATCACAATTGCTTTTAAATAGATTGAAGAAGGAGAAAAAGAAGATTCACTGGACAACAAAAATTATAACATGCTAGAAGTATATTATAAATGATGGTCTTTGCAATTTGTAATGGTATATGGTACTTTTATTTTATTAATGATTGATGTTACTTTAATTACAAGGTCATTAGCGATAATTACATTTGATTATTTACATGAAACTGGATTATTAATTGCCTTAGACTTTCTATAAATTTTTGCATTTTATCAGCTTTTTTCGACTTTAAATATGCTAATCATCTTCAACAAGGAATTTTATTATATATTTATTGTAAAATATATATTTAAGATTTATAGATACATTTATTATCACTAGAATATAGAATATAGAATAATTTATTGTAATAATTAATATGCAATAATTTTTATTATATTGTATAATAAAATGATATATTTATTACTCAATATGTGTACGTCGATTATATATTTTTCAACAAATAAATAATAAATAGTTTTAGTACATATATGTAATTTAACTAATGTATTAGTATCTAAAAACACGTAGAAATGTCTATCTTGAAACTTTTGACACTCGATATTCAGCTGAGCTATTAGTTTCTTCTCCTATTGTTCCCGCAACCTCGTTGCATTGAATGTCACACAAAAATATGATGTAACTTAATGTATTAACTTGAATATTGTTATATCGTAATATAAACAGTAAGTTTCAATTTTTGTCGTCTGATAAAAGTGTAAGGTTTAGTTGATTTTTAAAAATCTTTTGGTAAAAAAAAAGGTGGGTCATAAAGTTTGATATTACCTCGATGAAAGACAAATTAGGTATAAAGACGTATGAAATATTCGGAATAATTAACGAGGTACGTTACTGTAGAAGAATGGTAAGCTGGTACTTCTTCGACTGAAAAGTAAAGATAAATATACAGGTACAAGGTACCTACTTCGGAAGACTTTCTCTTGTCAAGCGGTTGAACGAAACTATAGCAATTTATATTCGTCAAAGTCTATTTACTTTGACCCAACAACGTTACATTTGAGACTAGTTTAACATTAGCAACAACAAATTAATTAAACACAAAAAATACGATACGTATAAATAATATCCCTTTCTGCATCTTCGAGATACTTTACAATTTGTAAGAATATTTGACAAATTTTTTTGCCATATTATACAAATAACATGGAATTCGATTATTGGATGTTAAATTTACTTAAATTTATTACTATAGATTCTCCAAAATTTCTCCTTGGTCACTCAAACATGTTTCGATAAATTCCGATCTCGAAACTTATTCTAAATCGAATACAAATGCTGAGTCATTCAAGGCATTAACCCTTGCCAAATAAATATTCAGAATCCATACAAGTATATTGATGGCTCGGTTTCTAAAACAGGATCGGAATGTGCTATCGTCTATGGAGATGACATATTTAAAATTTATATTACCTAACCATATTAGCATTAAATCAGCAGAATTAATAGCAATTCAACTTCTTATAATTGGCCAAGAAAAAACTACAGTATTCTCACCGATAACAGGGATGCTATCACATTTATCAAGTATAGAGATCTGACGACGTCGTACTTGATATATTGGAAACAAATCACTCCGTAATTAATGAAGGTGAAACAGTTATTTTTGCGTAGATGAATATTCCTCCATTACACGTTGGCATGCGTTGCAATGAATTGGCGGACAAGATAGCAAAGGACGTGCCTACCTTGTCTTTAACAAAAACATTTGGAAAATCTCCAATTCAACTGGAACTGTTTAATCTGAATCATCAAATGAATAAAAATAGACAAACTCTGCAGCCTCGTATGCAGTGGAAATCAACGAAGAATTTTTTAACAAGAACCTAGTTATCAGGAAGCTCGATCAAGTTGTATTAAACAGACTTAGAATTGGTCAGATTAAACTTGTACATGCACGTCTAATCTCAAAATCTAATTCGTCAAAACCTAACACTAACCAACCTACGATATTTGTAATTGTCAAATTACCAACAAACACATGTTCTATAAATTGTCTTAAAAAGAATTACTCTCGTAACAAATACCAGATCAAAGGAGCTTTAGGTGGAAATCTCTATGGTAAAACTCAAATTTCAAGCGTCTTCTCCTTCCTGAAAGGCATGCCATTATTTAGCGATGTTTAACTATAGTATCCTAATAATAATAAATTCCTTTCTGCTAATATTGTCGTCGCTAATAACCAGGTGGTGGAGTTGATGCGATGTTAAAATGTCTAAACTAAAAAAAGTTTTCTATTTATTTTATTATTCTTCTTAGAATTTTTGTTTACATTATTATTTTTAGAATCAACGATTTACTATTCAAAGAATTTTTTAAATTTAAGACAATGTGGATCTTCGAGTATTTTCTATTCCCAAAAGTGTTTATTTTATAAAAGAGTTAAAATATGTTTGTACTATCTTCTTATTTAATATTTACGCTTTAAATAACATTTATTAGTTTTACTGAAAATTCATATTAATACTGTTATACTAGTATTAGTATGTTAAATACATACCCAACAAACATGTACAAATTTATATGCAAGCTACAACATTTTTAACATTATTTTACAAAATTATCATCACGAAACTCTTATCGTTTAATATTAACATCGTTCTTTTATTAGCATATTTCGATCATTTCACTAGAAAGGATAAGTGCATTTATCTTTCAAATTACCATTTCTAAAATCAACACAAACTTTCTTAACTTTCTTAACATAACATACTTTCGATCCACGATTAATTTTGTAATTCACCTTTTCACCTTTCGATGTACACATTTGAATAGATTCGAATTACGAAGATTTATAAATCTTTTAATCCATTGATTACTTTTGTAATCCTGCTTTCGTGAAAAATTTCCTAGATTCAAATCCTCTTACAAGGATTTATGCATCCTTAAGACGGTGTACTTCGAATTCATCATTATTTCCAGTGCTGTTTAAACTCAAGTTAAATCCAAAGATTTATAAATCCTTCGATCGATCATTACTTTTGCAATCCTCTCTTTTCTAAAAAAGTTTCTCAGACTCAAGTTATGGTAAAAGAATTTATACTTCTTTGAGATTGTACATCTTCGACCCATCATTAATTCTGTAATCCACTCTTTCGCGAAACTTGTTTAGATTCCTATTACATTATAAGAATTTATGAATTCTTAAAATAGTACATCTTTGATCTCTACGAATACACACATACATATCATTAAAGTTTAACTTTTTACGAACAAATTTTTACAATAGAAATGTTTACTTTTCTACTGAGCTCCACAAATAATAAGTGACATTTATAGAAGAGTAGTAATCGAATAGGGCAATAATTGCTGATATGTATAAATTAACAAATTTAGTAACAGTGGTCGTTTTCGAAATATTAAATTCAAGGTATAAATGTCGAATGAGAGAATAATATAAAACTATATAGTTCATATAAAACATGAAAAGATTCCCCAATTTTTTTCTTAAGAAATATTTTAGTACGAAACAGTTGACGAAAGAAATAACTTGACAGATTCAAAGATATAAATCTTTCAAAAATAGATGACAAAAATTTGGCAGTAATTTGTGAGGAACTTAATGAATATTAGTCCACATAAAATAATATTATTAATATTTTTTAACTATCCAAGAAGCCAAGACGCACATTTAATTCCAAAATAAAACGAAAGCATAATTTTCATGTAGAATTGCTTGACAGTGTATTTTTAAATTACTCTTCCATAAATGATAGATAATGTGGATTATCGTGGTTTTCATCTCAGGCCTTCATATATCTTTTCAGCCAATTTAATTCCAGGAATTTCCTCGATATTTTTCTCATTACCATTTTTTTCCATCGTTCAACCTTCTAAAAATAAGCAATTTTTTCTCACAATAAAATATCACGCTTTTTGCCTGTAATTTTCACATATAAACTGCATCAAATTCTTGAAAGAAACAGGAAAAGATATGCACATTGGAAAATACGAAAC